TTTTTTTATTGTTCTTTCAGTCAGTGTCTTTTTTGTCATTCCTTCAGTATTCTTTCAATACCTTCTTTTGATATTCTAAAACGAGCAAATATGGTTCTTCTTCATTAAAACGCGATACTCCAAAACATTCAATGACATTTTTGTAACCTATTTTATTTATAGCTGATTGTTCTCCAACTCTAATGGAATCAAAAGCTTTGATCTATTTAATAAAATAATCAAAATTTTAATTTTTAATCAGAAGTGTTATGAAGGAGTTGACAAATCGATCTTACCTCCTTAATAAGCTCTTGATGTTCCGGCTCTGTTATAATTTCATCAGGCACAATTTGTTTTAAGATGATGACTGCATTTTTTGTTTTCCACAGGGCTTTTCTTATGACCCCGGTACCCCCGCTATTAACAAACACTGGATTTTCAAACTCTCCATGATCAATAAAATTGATGTATTTCTTTTTTATCATTCTGTTAATCCAATCAATATTGGTTTCTCCATTATTTTGTCCAGGTAAAAGCCTATCTGACATATTGAATAATTTTTTAATCATAATCAGAATTATTGTGATTCAGGTTCACCGACAATTTATATAGATATACCTATGCATTGTACCACGAGAGATAAATTCAAATACGCACATTATATTTCTATTAAGGGTTATGCTATTATGAAAATCAATATTTGACTGTCTTAATAATTCCGATTATTTTATTATAGGTAATGTAAAAAAGGCTTTGTTAAACGATAATTCAATGTTTGTTACAATTAATATTATCATAAGCCAAAATGATTAAATTGGATATATGTATAATTCTATTTAAATTTCTTGATTTGAAGTTATATATCCTAATTTAGGACGAATAAATATTCTTATTATTCAAAAATGAATCAACTCCGAATGAACATCCATTTTGTACGTACGTACGTACCATATTTAGTGATTTTGACCCATGACTTCGGCACGGCGATAATTATCATTAATTAATGACTTATTATTATATGCTTAAGTCCTATAAAGAATCTGAACACGGAAATACATGTACTACGAAATTCGGCCAAATCATTTTCTGTTACACAAAATTTCAAAAAAAAGGGAACTGCTATTTCCACCCCCAGATATCAAAAAGTACTCTGGAATAAATATTCTTATTAAGTAATCCCTCCTTTTGATATTAATAAATGTTGTTCATTAGGCCTTTCCGGTTCTAATGGTTGTAAAATCATTACACTCAGACCAGTAGTTTCTATCCGAAGTTAGTTAACTTTCATTTACTTTAAAAAAAAAAACTATCAGTCCGATTTTAATGATTTTACTACCATTAGAACCAGAAAGGCCTGTTGAACAACTTTAATTAAGACCCAAAAGAGGTTTTCTTAATAACAATACCTCATCCAAAGCACTTTTTAAATCTTGGGCAATTCCCTAAAAAAATCGCTCGCACTTTTGTGCAACTCTATTTGGTCGATTTGATGGGTTTGATTGTTTTTGGGCATGAATACCATAATTTTTAACTTCTTTTGGTGGTACGGGAAAGAAGTCGTTTTACGTTGTGAGCGTCGAATTTACCCGATGTGCAAATTGACGTCGCACCACTGTTCAATTTTTAATGGCTAATTCTATTTTGACCCGATCAAAAACCCCTGTAGATCACCCACAAAAAAATTTCCGGCATGTGATTAAGCCACTTCACTAATTTCTGCGAGATACAATTAACGTTGACCTTAACGTTCACCTCAACGTTGACCTTAACGTTCACGTCAACGTTCACCTTAACGTTGACCTTAATGTTGACCTTAACGTTCACGTCAACGTTGACCTTAACGTTTACGTCAACGTTCACCTCAACGTTGACCTTAACTAACGTTCACGTCAACGTTCACGTCAACGTTCACCTCAACGTTGACCTCAACGTTGACCTGTTCACCTCAACGTTGACCTCAACGTTGACCTCAACGTTGACCTCAACATTGACCTCAACGTTCACCTCAACATTGACCTCAACATTGACCTCAACGTTCACCTCAACGTTAACCTCAATGTTGACCTCAATGTTCACCTCAATGTTGACCTCAACATTGACCTCAACGTTCACCTCAATGTTGACCTCAACGTTCACCTCAACGTTGACCTCAACGTTGACCTCAACGTTCACCTCAACGTTGACCTCAATGTTGACTTCACATTCACCTCAACGTTGACCTCAACATTGACCTCTATGTTTGTTCACCTCAATGTTGACCTCAACGTTCACCTCAACGTTGACCTCAATGTTGACCTCAACATTGATCTCAATGTTGACCTCAACGTTGACCTCAACGTTCATCTCAACGTTTACCTCAATATTAACCTCACGTTCACCTCAATGTTGAGGTCAACATTGACTTCAATGTTGACCTTAACATTGACCTCATGTTTATCTCAACATTGAGATCAATGTTGACCTCAACATTGAGATCAATGTTGACCTCAACATTGACCTCAATGTTGACCTCAATGTTGACCTCATGTTCACCTCAACGTTGATCTCAACATTGACTCAACATTGACCTCAATGTTCACCTCAACATTGACCTCAACATTGACCTCAATGTTGACCTCAACATTGACCTTAACATTCACGTCAACGTTCACCTCAATGTTGACCTTAATGTTCACTTCGTCAAAAAAATACTATCCATTTTATGTTGATTTAACTTTTTTTTTAATAATTTTATTATTATAATTAAATTGTATACAAAATTATATTATCTAATTTACAAAAGAATGACAAAAAAATAACAAAAGAATAACAAAAGAAGTACTGAAAAATGTCAAAAGAAGCACTGAAAATATGTGAAAAAAACACCAAAAGAACATTGAAGAACATCAAAAGAAGCACTAAAAAAATGTCAAAAATGCATAGAAAGAACAATAAGAAAAAAACACTTAAAGAATGTCAAAAGAAATACTGAAATAACATCAAAAAAGCTTCAAAGAAACATCAAAAGAAGCACTGAAAAAATGTCAAAAAACACTAAAAGAATGCAAAAAAAGTATTGAAAAATGCCAAAAAAAATATTAAAAAACACTGAAAGAACAATGAAAGAAGTATCAAAAGAATATCAAAAGAAGGTATTGAAAGAATACTGAAGGAATGACAAAAAAGACACTGACTGAAAGAACAATAAAAAAA